GAAACAAAGTTGAAATTCTTTTTAAATGTTAGTTGGATAAATTTATAAGTTTCTGCTCGAAGGCCACATTATAGTCTCTTGGAAGTTTTATCTTTTTTTTTGCTACTGCCTCTAATTGTCTCTGCTCTTCTTCTGTTTTTCTTTTTTGTTAGTTTTTCAGTCGCACTTTTTCTAATCTAGAAGAATAATTGCCATTCATCCACGTTTGTTTTTCAGTAGCTTTATTTCTAATGCTTTTGTCAGCCGGTCCCAAGATTGATCGCCGTTGTAGGGAAAACCTGTAATTCCGCTGAATGGGAGAAGCAGAGATGTATCTCATGATTTGATTAGGTACTCCCTTGTATTTCTCTTTTTTAGATATTTCTTTCTTTAGCTTAAAGGAATTGTTCTGTGCATGAATGAAAAAAACTCGTTAAAAAAAATTCCAGAAACAGGATGGTTGCCCAACCGTGGCAATATTTTTTGTTTCGAAGGTCTCCTGAAGCATCCACTTGTTGATTTCTGACTTCAAACAATAACTTTCTGGGTCATAAGAACTTTGGGGTTACCATGAGATAGGTTCAAGTCACGATGTTTCTGTACAATTAACCGTTCGGCTATATCGGGAAACTTCCCTGCTCCCATTGGCAACCTCCCAAGGACAGAGAGGCTGGTTTTTTTGTGCCTCTTTCTATTTCTGATTTTCTTTTTATGCAAAGACCTGGATCTTTTTACCGGTTCTGGCGCCGGGTTTGCGTTGAGAAAAATCCAGTTTGATACTAGGTCACATTTCTTTTCTAAATATATAAAAAATTTTGCACCAATTTGTCAACGTTGCTTTTCTTTGCACAATTTAGGCAACCTTATATAATCAAAAGGGTTTTATAAAAGCAAAAAAAATTCTTTAGAAAAAATGAAATAGAGCGTAAATCATCCACAGGCTTAATAGGGTACCTTTATGGTTGAAAAGTACTAGCAAAAAACCGAAGGGAATTAGACCTTTTCCAACCTTCTTGATGTACTTTTGTATCAAATTGGGTGGTATTATCTGTGTAGTACACAGTTTCACCAGAATGACAAAAAGTAAGATAGATTGTGACGTTTTATTAGCCCTATTTTAGAGAATATTGTTTGTTTTGCGTATTTTCTACTTGGAAAAAGTTTTATAAACCGGTGTAGCACATGAACAAGAAAAAAAAGGGGTATGCATGCAAATAATAAAAAAGACAAAGTGTAGACTGGTGTGCGACAATTGGGGTAGAGAAGTTTTCCTTTGTTAATTCGTCACAGTCTGTACAAACAAGATGGGGAGGTTAGTGTCGCAAATTGTTATGCTGATTTTTGAAAGCCAATTTGTGTTCATAACATATCGAGCAAAAATGTTGAAGGGTTGATTTTATCAGGCTTCCAAAAAACTTTGCAAATGACGTGATGTACATATTAAACTGGAGACCATACAATTTTAATGATTTCATCGACAATGGAGAATACCATTTTGGAAGAAGAGCAAAGAAAAGTCCTCTGATTCAATGATGGCCCAAACAGAAGAATTAGGCTTCAAATGGCAATTATTTTTTTAAATTTAATTCAATAAGGCCAGTTTTTGTTACTTGGCTATAAAATTTTAAAATACTGGTGTGGGGCTAGCCACTATATCAATTTTTGAAGTGAATACTGACGATCGGTTTAAAATTGCAATTTTCAACTATAATAAAAGAGCAAAAAAATCAATTAGTTGACACATTTTCTCTTTGTAATAAATGTCTTTTTTACTCAAGTTTTGAATTTCTGCATTCTATATTACTGGGGTAAAACTGTGGATAATCAGTTAGAAGTCGGAAAAAATTAAAATCTAGAAACAAGGCAAAAGCTTAACTCTTGATAAGAAAGATGTTCATTACATCTGACAAGAACTTCAATATACACTTAGAAGATGGACTGTAGTTCAAAAGTTCTTGTGATAAAAACGGTGACCGGCTACCGGCTGATTATTAATTTTGAACAACATATTACCAACTTGCAAGAATAGGACGATTCGAAAAAAAATTGGATTTTCTTTCAATCATTAGGAAATGACCCAGTTCTTAAAAATTGCGATGGTTCCCTTTGATTTTGATAATAGTGGATAAAATTGAATTTACTTTGCAAATCTATAAAAAAAAATCTGGTCTCACTGGTTGCACCAGTTTTACTAAAAGAAACGATGGGTCGATTGATAGATAAGTTTGTTTCAATTAGTAGTTTAAATTATAAGTCTCGGTTCAATTTTATCATAGATCATAGTCGATCTGCTTCTAGCTTCAAAATGATATTTATACAAATCGATAAATTTAAAAGGGTTGGTGAATAGAAAAACGAAAAGATTATGCACAACTGTTAATCTGTTTATAACTCTCACCAATGTGAGGAGATTTCGGGAGGATTCTCTTAAAACTTTTCTCTCCTTCAATATTTTGTTGGGAATTGGTGGAGAGAAGATGGGAAGAAGTACAATTTCCAGTTTCCGCTGTCAGTTAGGGCCTTGTGCCTGACTCAAGAGATATTGCTTTCGGTGTCGGTTTCGATTAAATTATTGGTTTTAAGAAAACTGTTTTAGGTACAACTTTAAGCAGTGAGTGACTCTAAAAGAAAATTACGATAAGGAAATTATAGTTTCAACTTTTAGAGACGGAGATAAGTAACAGAATACAATAGTTTAGCCGTCTTTTTGAGCGTAAGAAATTAGCGTCCCTGAAAAATGCACACAGGCTCATCTTAAACAGTTTTCTCTGCACCTGCTATTAGACTTTAGTCCTTTTCTAATTTTTATCCTTCTTTTTTTTCAGTAGACTGACTTTTCCATTTTATTGATTTTTCATATCAAGGAATCAGTATTTAGTTTAACAGGAAGAAATCAAAATAGTTTCACCTGCATGCAGTACTTTAATTTTCAGAGCATTGGAGGATCCATCCATTTTAAAAACCAAAACAATAGCCACCTTCCCCTCGACTGGTGTCGTGGATAATTAATAATTTCCATCGATCAAAAAGTACTTTTCTTATGAAACTCTTTGAATTTTTTCAATGTTGAAACAACTGATAGAAAAAAAATCCGTACAGAGTTTGACAAATTAGATATTTTGATTCGATGTTTAAACTTTCAAGTTCTTGTACCTGTTGAAACCTGATTTGAATAATAAATTGAAAAATTATTATTCCTAAGTGTGAACGAATTTAGAATAGAAAAGGGTCCACTCGAGTCTCATGTAAACAGTTAACACAATAGTCTTTTTTATTATGTAGCAATTCTTATATTACAGGTTATAGCAATATATCTAATTGTAGCCCTTGTACTCATGTTTTGATTGACATTGAAAATTTGTTCTTAAAATTTTCTGCAAAAAACTGCTGTTCATTTAGCCTACTGCTGTTCGAATGTCCCTAAATTTTAGTTTTTTGTATTATCTTTCTATCACACCTCGCTGAGAAACCTACACTAATTTGAAAAAAAAACACTTTGTACTTTTTGAAGACTATGGTTGGAACATTCTGTGCTACTTGCACAATAACCAGCAAACTTATTCAAAAAACTTTCAACTTGCAAATTAAATGAGTACGACCTACTTTACTTTATAGAAAAAATATGTTTGTAATTTTGAACGCAAATTTCTTCAAAAACTTTTTGTATGAGCTTAAAATTGATTCTGCGACTTTAACATTAACTGTGCATTTTGTGAATTGTAAGCGGATTCCGCAACAGGCAAAAATCAGATTTGTCGCGGAATCCGCAACATTGCTTTTCTTCTTTGATCTTCTCTGAGGTTTTGGATTCCACGGACAAATAGCTAAAATACTGTATTGCTTAAAATGGCTCTATAAACAGGCAACTTTGCAGAAACCGCAACAAAATATGTGTAATCCGGACCCAGTTTGTGGAATCCATGAACAAACAATTTTATATATGTTTAGTAAACTTAAGCGGTCGCGGAATCCACAACTGTAAGTGAAATCCGCAAATTGTAAACGGAATTCGCAAATTGTAAGCGGAATCCGCAAATTGTAAGCGGAATCCGCAAATTGTAAGCGGAATCCGCAAATTATAGGCGGACTCCGCAAATTGTCAGCAGAATCCGCATAAATTTGCGGAACTCACTTACATTTGCGGAATCCGCTTACTTTTGCAGAATCCGAAACAACTAGCTATAGTCGCTCGTTGAGGAATCTGCAACAAAATCAATGTGCGAACAAAATTTACGTTACTGGTTATCGTACGCGGAATCCACTGAATTTTTTTAAGGGGAATCCACTTACATTTTGGAACATGTTTAAAGTGTTGTCACTGGAATTCAGGAACATACAGACACAAAATTGTGCGCCTATCCAGTGCACTGCACAATTTGGCCTCGTAATAAAAAAATCCCCCAAATTCTGGGTTTTGCTCGATATTTTGTACAAATCTAAAAATTGCGTATCATATTACTTTCATGAATGAAAATTGTATGATAATTAGTTTTTCCGTAAACTCCAGATATGGAATTGCCTCTACAAGCAATTTTCGTGTATCGAAGGCAACCCGGGCGCTTCTGCAGTTGTGTGAGCATATCCCTTCATAATCCTAAAGCTAGGATGGTAAAGAAACATTTTGTAAACTGATTTTTCTCATAGTTTAGACTTCTTTGAGCAATTGTTTCAACTGCTGCTAGCTGCTTTTACTATTGTCAGATTGTCTTAAATTTAATTTATTAATGGTGCAAATAATGACTGCTATTGTAACAAAAGGTTAAAAACTCGTAAGATGTTAGTCATCGTGGGCGCTATCTAAACGGTACCCTGACTTTCTCTCTTTGCTGATGGTTTGAACTATCGATCTCAAAGGACTCGGGCAGACCAAATGAAAGTACTTTGATCTCCAATATGCGACTTCAGTTAGTCATATAAGGTCTGAAATGTACCGCTTTCAACCTATTGTGGTTGATTTCGGTATCTTAGTTCTTTTGAATGACAATTAAGTTTCAGTCATTTTAACTCAAAGTGATCAATTATTTGTCGGTATAAACAGATTTGTCAGTTTTTGGAAGGTTTAGTTTATACTACCGGGCTTTAAATCAGCCTTTGAAGTCGATATTTCAGTCTAGTTTCTATCTTCTGTTTAATTTGTGATCAGCTGGTATTTTCTTGGAAACTCGTCCAACGCAAACTTTGTCATATTTTTGAAATATACAAATAGTGTTGTAAATTATTTTTGATTTTTAGTACTTTGACATAAGTTTGACCCAGTTTTTCAAGAACTTGCTTACCCGGCTCCTGGGCACAACAGACGTGATCAAAAGGACGTTGCACCTAAACTAAACTCGTGATTTGAGGGCAATAAAAAGAACAAAGAAAAACACTAGAAGGCTCAAACTTTATCGATCCTGCAATCTTCTCAGTTCCTCAAATGGTCTGTTCGATCGTCTGGACAAGAGAACACAACACAACACAACACAACACAACACAGCTAATAAGCCTCGAGACTTGAGACAATTTTCAAAAAAGTTATCAGCTTTAAAGCCTGCTGGACCGGACCGCGCCAAATATCGCAAAGCAGACCATTGAGATCGCTCAAAAGTATTAGTGCTAACTAGTCTAAATAGCTATCACCGTTCAATATATCATTAGATTGTTATAAATCCCTAAGCCCGCTATCCTAGCCGAGGCTTGAGAGATTTGCAGCTACAGAAGTGTCTGGCTTACTAGCATTGCGTAATACTGGGCGCACACCCTGAAACTACCCACTTTTTATGACCATCGGTGCTAATTTTGCCCCACTTTGATTTCAAGCAAATAGCTCACCAGTTGAGATTCATAAATCGAGATTTACTCTGCCAAAATAAGGCTAATTACCTCACCTACTTGTATGCACCTTGATGACAACTGTTTTGAAAACTTGTAAGTTACCCAAAAATAAACAAAAACAATTCCTGGCGTAGTAACGCAAGTCCAAACAATATTCCCAAAACTATAACCAAAATGTTACCAACAAACAGACTTGTGTGTAAGTTCTTTTTAACCTTGCAGTTAATTTTCACCACGAAAACTGTAGGGGCGTCGGGTGTCGCGCGAGACTTAGCAGCCGACAACATACCGACACTCCGAGACTTCTTCGGGGACCTGGATGAAATGCCGGAGGAAGTGTTCATTGATATGATTCAAGACTTGCTAACCACCATCGCCGCCACTTGTAACACTCAGACAGAGTTTAGTTACTGGGTGTGCAATCAATACGATATGTTTGGAACGTTGCTTGACCCTGACGGCTATAAGTTCGTCAACTTGACCCAGTTTCCAGACAGGAATGTCACTGTTTCGCAGACTAGAGAAGGAGCTTACATCCAAGGTCTGCTAGGCGCATTTTTGACCCAGAAGTTGCACTTTTATAGACTACGAAGGCAGAATGTTTGCGGGGTGGACACAGGGGATCTCATAGCAGAAGGTGAGTGGCTACTCTTCTCAAGTTAATTATGGCGACCCCTCCGCTCGCAATCCATAACCTAAAATCAACTCTTCCTAAACCCATCCCCTATAATAGCGACATCTCCAATTTTGGAGGAGGGTCTCACGGAACTCTACCAAAAGTTTCAAGGAGGCTCAACGTTCGAAAAAAAACATACCGTTTCAAAAAACATGCCGTAGATTTTTGTCAAATTTTATTAAAATTTGCTGGACCACCTTTAAAGTGTTTCCGTCTTTCAAGCGAAGCTTTGATGATTCGAGACCCACTATCATCCACGGTATAAGTTTTAATAGCGAAACTCAAAGAAAAAGCATCAAGTTATGTTGTAAAAATGTAATCCTAGGGTCCTTTCAAAATTATTCATAGTCAGCCCCTTTCGATCTGTATCCCATGGGCTTAAGATTCTCATGACGTAGAAGTAGAATCCTCAAGACGAGACCTAGGATCCTCATGACTTAAGCCTAGGATCTTCATGACGTAGACCTAAGATGCTTATAACGTAGACCTAGGGTTCTCGTGACGTATAATTGAGACCCTATGACCTAGACCTAAGATCCTTATGAGGTAGAACTAACATCCTCATGACGTAGAACGAAGATCCTCATGACATAGACCTAAGATCCTTATGACGTAGACCTGAGATCCCTATGACGTAAACCTAAGATCCTTATGACGCAGACCTACGATCCTTATGAGGTCGAACTAAGATCGATGTGTGGTATATCTGAAATCAGGAGCGGATCTAGGATTTTCTTGAGGGGGGGGCGGATTTTTGAAAAAATTTCAAAAATTTTGTCGACCTTTTTTTTAGGCCGACCAAATTGATTTTCCGAGCTCTCCCAAAGCACTATATAGACCCTGAAAGACCCTGTTTTGAAAAAAGTCCCGCAGGCAAAATTTTGAAAAAAAATACAGGCCAAAAAAGGCGTTTTTAGGCACTGTTTGAAGAATTTTGACCAAAAAAATTGCGTTTTTTCGGCGCGCACTCCCCCCTCAAAACTAGTAGGCGCCTTTAGAAAAGTTTTAGGGTCCTCTACCAAAAATGGATATCTCAAAACAGTACAAAGGGGGACCCTTTGGGTCGGCAGGGGGTCGAATCCCTGAGGGGAAAGGGCGTCCGCCAACCCCCCGCACCCCCACCCCTAAATCCGCTCCTGCCTGAAATCCTCATGAAAAAGGCCTTAAGTCGTTATGAGATAGACATCAGGTCTACATGACGCGGATCTAATATATTAATTATGCAGATCTAGGATTTTCAAGATATAGAATTTAAGTATTTGTGACGTACAAATATTACTTTCTTTGAACCCAGTGAACAATCTCCCCCTAAATCAATTCTTTTCAGTCAGGTTTGAGCATAGCTCATGCAGGCTTTAAGGCTCGAATTTGCAATTTAGTTTCAGGGGGGAGAATTTCAGCCAATCAGATTTGAGCATAGTACAAGGAGGCCTTACGGCTTGAGTATGCCATTTAATTTGAAGGGGGAGATTGTTCACTTGGTCTATTAAGGGGGAGATTGTTCATATGGGCTCTTTCATGAGGTTTATCAAATTGGTTCCTTGACTTAGGGTTCCTGTGACAGACCTAAAGTTCTGATGACCGAAAGATCTGATTCGCTGAAATAGAGCAATAGACAATTAAGTATAAATAGACAATTAAATATAAAATAAAAATTAAGTAATTTTCGTGCATAGCTGCTTTTAAAATCATAGACCCTCGAAGTATCCTCGATTGGATTATTTCGCTAAACCTATAGGGCTTAGCAGGGGCAGATCTATGATTTTCTCGAGGGGGGATTTTCAAAAACATTTCGAAAATTTTGACGACCTTTTTTAGGTCGACCAAACTGATTTTCCGAACTATCCTAAAGCACTAAAAAACGCTGTTTTAGCCAAATTTTCTAGGCACTTTTTAGAAAATTTCGACAAAAAAAATGCGTTTTTTTGGCCTGCGCTCCCCCTTAATGTTAGTCTATACTGGCGCCCTTAGAAAAATTTTAGGATCGGTAGGCCGAAAATAGATTTCTTAAAAAGTACCAAAGGAGGACCCTTTGGGTCGGCAGGGGGTCGAATCTTTAGGACCCTTTGGGTCGGCAGGGGGACGGACGGATAGTTCTAAGATCGCTCTAAGACGTGATATTAAAAATTACAGAACAGATTTAAAAATCTTAATGAAAAGAATAATGTTCACTTTGAAAGCGTTCTTCATTCGTGTTTATTTGTTCAGAAAACAGGTCAGAGATGCACAGGTGTGTGAAGGATGACCTGAAGAGAGTGGGAGCTTTGTTCAAGGTGTTCGTGCGGAAGTACAGCAAAAAAAATCCCCTCACGGCCGACCTGTTGCACCATAACTTATTCGCCGGGCACAAACTGTTCATGGACATTGTTGAAGACGAAAAGAGTGAGTGTTATTGCCGAAAAAACTTCAAAGTGCTCATTTTATCAATATAATCGATCCAAAACTGAAAGTAACAACATTAAGGAGTTGCTAGGATTGGATTTTAACACTTTGTGTTTTTTTCGGAACTTCCAATCATCTAGTCAAATGACTGTTTTGACTTTTACCTTTATCTTCCAAAACTGTGCCAGTCGTTCAAAGAAGCACGAATTATAATACATAGGGTTTCGAACCACCGACCTGTCCTTTGCTAGACGGAAGTTTCGTTAATTTCTTCGACACATTTTTTAATTCTTCATTTTAGCCTGATTTTAAGTGATGTCTATGATTCTCTCATTCTAAAATTTTGATAGAACTGAATTGGAAAGAACACTTCTAGCTGCTTTACGAGAAAACAAAGCAGCCATTGAAACTAAATTACTAAGAAACTTACCTCCTCTCTCTAATTAAATTTTGATATCTTTGTAAAATAGTTTAGTATCAAACTGAGCATCAAATTGACTGTTCTTTGCTATAGCAACCCCGTGCCCTTGCGTGACCCAAGATAAGTGTGCCTCGTTGTCGTTCACTTGCTATAACCACAACCTCATTCACGACCTCCCGTCCATGATGGGATCCCAACTCTACCACTGGTCGCTAGAGGGCAGGAAAGCCGTACCCTACGACCACAAGACAAAGAGACTCTACTACGAGGAGTCAAATAAAGAGAAGATCAAGATCGGCTACAAGAGACTGGCCTACATTTCGGATTATGAGAAGAACTGTCAGACGGTGGTCGGTCGAAAATGCGTGAGGTCAAAATCGTACGAGATTTGTCAACCCCAGTTCAAGTAAGTTTCACTTGATCCTATTTTTATAACGCCCTAATGTTCCGCTTTTTTTCTTGTGATTCGAAGTTTTTGAACTTCTTTGTATAGATATTCCTATTTTAGGTAAAACTTTAAACTTTTATCATAACAACTACCACCTACAAATAATCTAAATGTTTCGTTCTATTCATTGAAATGATTCATCTTCAGACCAACCATGTTTTGTAATTCGTTATAAGTTTTCTATCAAATTAAATTTCATCAGGAGTGATAATTTTTCCTCACTGAAAACAAGGCTACTCGTAACATGGGAGTACCATCTGTCTTTTGAATTGCATCAAGTTATTTTTTTAAATTCGAAGCTGAAGTTTTCAAATTACCCCACTCCCACGCATGTCTTGTCATATCCAAAGTTTGTGCCTCTTCACGCATCATTTGGGCCATCAAACTGGTCCCTACCTAGTGAATGTTCTAATTCCGATCTAAAATTGTTTTTGAAATGTTAAAATAACGCTTGCATACTTTAGGAATGGGTTATTTCAGATCTAATTTCAGATCTCAAATTTTGTTTTTTTTTGGTTAATTCAGATGAGAAAAAAAACTATTTCAGATCTAAATTAAGAATCTGAAATTAAATTTTTCTTGGTTATTTCAGATCTGAAACATCAATGATTCTGACAAAAAATTTTTAATTTTTTCTAACTACTGTTAGGTACTAGCAGGTACTCAGCAATGTCTCAAAATGGAGACTGCCAAAATATGTTTCCCCAATCATGAGATAAACATTGAAAACGCTTAGTAGCGCATGAAATTTGACAGGTCTTCTAACAGTTTTTAAAAACTTTTTAACACAGTTGAACAAGAAATTTAGTTCGAAAAAAAATTAGTCTGTGAAATTATTCGGGAGTTTTTGTTAATCAGATAGTTAATCATATCTGATTATCGTAATAGTTAATCAGAACATAATTGTGTATTGCAGAAACATCAAAAAGTAAAAAACGAAATTTTGCTCGAAATGCGTAAATTATAACTCAATAAAGGGTTTCTCAGATCTATTTTCAGATCTGCAATTTTCTATTTCAGATCCAGTTTTCAGGTCTGAAATTTGCAAATTCTTATCAAAATCTTGAGATAAAAAATTTCAGATCTGAAAATCAACTTAAGTAAGAAATAAAGAATTTCAGATCTTGCACAGAAAATCCCTTGGGTACGGGTGCCATTTTTTAACTATAAAAAAAGGAGAAAGGCTTTATTCACTGCTTATGATTTCGTGCCCATCTTTCGGATTTGCGTGCCTACGACTTTCGAGCAAGCCGATGGAAAAATATCTATATTTTGTCCGGGTAAACTGTGATTCTTGAAGTTTAATTTTTTGATTTTTTAAATCAGCCAAAAAATGTCACTGTTTTGAGCTCAAAACTAAACTTATACTTCACTTGCGATTGTTTTTCGAAAAGTTATGTTGTCTCTGAATTTGCAATTTTGGACCGATGAGTATGCACAACAGTTTTGCGAACGCATTAGCGGCAAATTAATTTGTGGTGAAAATCATCTTTCATATTAACTGAAAAGGGAAATAAGCTATGGACGCCATTATTATCTAAACGCTATGTTTTACTTTTGTCGAAAGCAACCTATTAAAAATTCTTTATGCTTGACGTTTAAGAGAAGGCCAAAAACATTCTAGAACTATTCCAGATTGATTTCAATCTGAAACGAACTAACTAAAAATGGCAACCTGCTTGCTAGAAAAGCAAGCTTTTTGCAAACCCATTTGCGCTAAAAATTAATGTGTAATTTTTCAAAATTTTATCGCCTGAATACCTTGTTTAGAAAAAATGAAACATCTAGCCAGTCGATCTGCTCTATGAAAAAACTTGACATATTTCAAAGTTTCATCGCATGAATATTGTGCTCAGAAAAAAACTGAATTTCCAAGCTGTTTCATAGACCGAATCGTTTTTAAAAAAAAGCTGAAGTAAAGCAAATCTTCTTCACCTTGTAAGGCAAAATTTTGGCAAACGATTTGCTTTTTGAATTGACTTGAAATATTTTATTCAAGTTTCATAGCTTGAATAGCTTGCCTAGAACAACTTAAGTTTTTCGCAAAACGATTCGATCTATGAAATAGCTTGAAAGACTTCCAATTTTGAGAGCTGGAAAAGCTTGCTTAGAAAAATTTAAACTTTTAGCGAACCACTTCGTTCAATGAAATGACTTCGTTTATTTGAAAATTCGTACCTTGAACAGCTTGTTTTGAAAAATTTAAATTTTCGAAACCGGTTTGTTCTATACAATAATTTGAATATTTCAAATTTTTTGAACTGGACACGCTTGGTTACAAAAACTTTAGCTTTCGAACCAATTTGGTCTATGAAGCATTTTGAAAAGCTCCAAATTGCAGAGCTGGAATAGCTTGTATAAAAAACACAAAGATTTCCCGAGTCGATTTTGTCTTCAAACTAACTTCAGTAATTTAATAGCTTGAATTGCTTGCTTGAGAAAAATTGAATTTTTCGCAAACTGATTCGATGAGACAACTTCCATGAGACAACTTCAAGTCATGAGACAACTTCGATTTTTTCACGTTTATGTTGTTTGAATAGTTTGCTTAGAAAAACTCATCATTTTGTGAACCGATTCGGTCTTATAAATAACTTGACATCTATCAAGTTTTCATAACTAGAGTACCGATTTGGTTTTTTTAAATTTGTAAAGTCTTATAGCTTGAATAGCTTTCTTAAGAAAAACTTGAATTTTTTACAAATTGAATTGATATATGGAACAACTGAAATATTGAATGTTAATCGCTTGCAGAAAAATTCAATATTTTGCGAAACGATTCGTTCTGTGAAATAACTTGATGTTTTAAAGCGTAAATTGCTGCCCAAAAAACTCAGTTTTTCGATGTACAATTAGATCTATGAAATAAACTTAAATATTCAAACTTTCACAGCTCTTTCAGCGGGGTTAAGATAAGCTTGAACTTTTCGAACGGGTTTTCACTATGAAATAGTTTGAAATGACTCAAAGTTTTATCAGTTGAATGACTTTAATATCAAATTTCAAACGTTGCAAGCCGACGCTCTTCTTGAGAAAATTTAGCTCCAATAGCTTGCTAAGACAAGCTGAAGCTTTTTGGCAAACTGATTCGGTTCATGAAATTGTTTGAATTGTTTGAAATTTTCGTTGCTGAAATAGCTTGCAGAAAAACTAAATTTTTTTTCTTCCGATTTTCTTCATGAAATGACTTGAAACATTTCAAAGTTTCATTAATAATAGCTTGCTAAAAGAATTTTAATTTTTTGTCATCCAATTAGCCCTATGAAATAACTTGAAATATTTCAAAGTATCGTAGCTTAAATGGCTTCAATCGAACATTTTTAAGTTTTTGCAAAACGATGCGTTCTAAGAAAGACAAAATATTTCTTGAGAAAAAGTTTCATTGCTGTATTAGCTTGCTCAGGAAATCTTGAACTTATTGCAAACTGGTTCGGTCGATGTAGTGAAATATTTAAAAATCATCGTCTGAATGGTCTCAATAGAATCAATTAAGTATTTGGTCATTCGATTCGCCACACGAAATAACCTGAAACTTTTCAAGTATCATAGCTTCAATGGCTTCAATCAAAAAAATTTATTTGTTATGCAAAATGATTCGGTCTAAGGAATAACTTGAATTATTTTAAAGCTTCTTACCTAGAATTGTTTGCTTAGAAAAAGTTAAACATTTCGCCATTCAGTTCGCTTCATTATAACACTTGAAATATTTCAAAGTTTCATCGAATGATTAGAGTGCAAAAAAAATTAACTGAAACTGGTTCATTCCAAGGTATGACTTGAAAAAATTTGTAGCTGGAATGGCTTGCTTAGAACGTCATGAGTTTTTTGTTTTTATAAAAACTACATCGGTTAATTTGCTCCAATAGAAAAGTCTAAGCGTTTACCTACCGATTCCCTTCATAAAATAAATTGAAATATTTCAAAGATTTAATGCAAAATTACCTTAATAAAAAAAATAGATTTTTCCGAAAACCGATTTGGTCTATGAATTGTTTGGAATGGTTCAAAGTATCCCCGGTCTAATCGCCCTAATATAAAAACCTAATTGTTTCGCTATCTTAATTTCTTTATGAATTAACTTTCAGCGTTTCTTAACTGGAATGGTTTGTCTAAAAGTTTCAAAATTTCATAGCTGGAAAACTTGCTTAGAAAAACTTAAGCATTTCGCGAATCCATTAGTCTATGAAATAACTTGAAATGTTTCATAGTTGAATAACTGGGTTATCTTGCCTCAAAAAACCTAGTTTTGTTGCCTAGTATTTTTCATAGATTGATTTTTCTTCAGACCAACTTTAAAATCAATCTATAAAAAATATAATCACTTCTGAAAATTTTTTAATTATCATTTCTGAAAACTTTTTAATTGTCACTTCTGAAATCTAAATTGCTTCATGATTTAGCTTGAATTATTTCTTTTCCAACTTTTTAATTAGACCCGGCTGGTGTAGACAAATTTCTACAATTCGCGGACCGATTTGGTCTTTGAAATTTTTTTTATATATTTTTATATAACGATTTACGATATGGGATATCTTGAAATTGTTTTGATTTAAAAGCTTGAGTAGCTTAATAAAAGCAACTACTTCTTTTTGCTATCCAATTGGTTGTTGGAGACGGGCTTGCTAGTTTTTATTAAATTGACGGAAACTGCTTGGCGGTTTCTTCTTAAGTGGTTGTGTTATCCTTTCGACCAAAACAAGGCATGGTGTGGTGTTAGCAAAAAATGCAAGGAAAATGTTTTTGTTTTTTAAAATTATCTCAAACTCTCTTTTGCTGGCAAAAAAGTATCAGATAAGAAAATTAAAAATTTAAAAGTTTTCAGAAGTGATAAAATTTTTCGTAGATTGATTTTAAGGTTGGTCTGAAGAAAAATCTCCGGCAGCAAAAATTTGGAACTATTAAGCCGGGCATCCGTTGGGTATTTTCATGGCTAGTTTGGTTTTTCAGATTGGTTTTCTCGCGATTGGTTTTTGTACACTCGTATGGCCTCAAAATTTGCCACAATCTCTCATAGTGGACTAATCTATGAGCAATATTCTTCCTGTTATTTAATTACAGCTTGTACCCAGCATGTTATAATGCCCACATAGAAATCAGAAAAAATTCAAGAAATGTGTCAAATGTGAATTACATTTTTTTTTCCGACCACTGGGAGACCTTTGTCTTCGAGTGTATTCTATTTTTTTCTAAAATTATTTTTCCTTGCGAAATCAGGAAGAACATATCATCATCAGAGTAGGTCGATTGATATATCCTATTAATCCTCTAGTAGTTGAAAACTGTTCCATGTTCAAAATATAAAATTACTCGAAAATTTATAAACTTAAGAGTATTGTCAAATGGTGATTCGGTGATTCAATGACCATTCATCTTTCTGCGCTCTAACGTTTAAAAGTTTCTATCTGCTTTTACTCGATATCGAAAACAATTTTCATCCTCTCAGGCTTATATTATAAAATTTTTCATTGCTTAAAAAAAGCAGCAAGGAGCGCTTAAGGATCAAAGGTTCTTGAAAAATCGAATCAAACGTTTAACTATGTTATAAGTAAGTAAATAGGTCAGCTAATAACGCTAGAGATAGCTAATATCACTTTTGTAGGATGCTTTTCAAAAAATAAAAATTGACAAATTTTTTTAATCAGTTCCTCGGTTCAAACTTTTGCTGGATATTTCTCTGCTATATGCACGGCTGCGCGTATAATGCATGTAATTGTTAAACGACCCAGAATTTTGATGCAAACCGAAGATTCTATTTTTGTTCCGACTTTCGATACGAAAGTAATGAAATATTTGTGCTCAGGGTGGGTTTGGTTTTTTTTTCTTCAGACAAATTTCGACTTTTTAACTAGCCATTTTTGTTGGAATTTTTTTATCATTCGAAAGGTACTGTTGTCCTGAGCTCAAATATTTCACCTGTGATCATTTTTTGTAAAGTTACGGGGGTTTAAAGATTGCCATTTTGGCCAATTTGGTACAATTAACGCGCGATATATTTCGCGCTATTAACGCGTAAGCAGAGAGTTAATCCGTCTTAGAAATCGTTCCAAATTGCTTAAAAGAAGCTTATTTGCCATAGTTAGTTTGTTACAAGGAGCGAAATCTATCCTTATGTACTTTGTATGGCGTGTGGGGGGTGATTTTCATAAACAATTTCAAATTTTAGAAGAAAAAAAATTTTCGATTTTGTTTTGTGTCATTGAATTTTTTAATGTTATTTATTACTGCTCCAAAAACCTTAAAAGGCATTCGGAACATTCAGGGTTTCGCCCTGATACGAGCAGTCTTGTTTGTTTTTGTTCCGACTTTTGATACGAAAATAACGGTATTGTTGTCCTGAGCTTAAATTTGAAAACATATTTCACCTGTGATCATTTTTCGTAAAGTTATGGGGGTTAAAGGACTGCCATTTTGGCCAATTTGGGACAATTAACGCGCGATATAATTCGCGCTATTAACGCGTAAGCGGAGAGTTAATCCGTCTTAGAAATCGTTCCAAATTGGTTAAAGAAGCTTATTTGCCATAGTTAGTTTGTTACAAGGAGCGAAATCTATCCTTATGTACTTTATATGGCGTGTGGGGGATGATTTTCATGAAAAAATTCAAATTTTAGAAATTTTTTTGTTTTCATTTTGTTTTATTTCAGTGAATTTTTAAATTTTATTACTGCTCCATAAACCTTAAAAGGCAGTCGGAACATTCAGGGCTTTGCACTGATACGAGCAGTCTTGTTTTCATTTGAAATCAATTCGAGGCCGTATATGACTGTGGAATTCTGAGACATGCTTTGTAATATGTCAAAATTTGCAAATGGTTACCCTTCTTCTCAAATTTCTGTGGAATCACAACAAATACTTTAACGTAAATTTCGTTGGAACATTAAATGTGTTGCGGAATCAACAACGAGGGAAAAGATCAAAGAAATGAGGAAAAGATCAAAGATTTGAGCTTATCATTTGGAGCTGCGCTACGTTTTAGCCACTTGTCTCTAGATTTTTTCCTGGCTCGTATGTTTCATAACCTTAAAATACCCGTAACCAGGGGTTTTTCTGTGCAAGATCTGAAATTTTATAATTATTACATAAGTTGATTCTCAAATGTGAAATCTGGATCTGAAGTAAAAAATTTCAGATCTGAAATAACCCTAAAAAACAAAATTTCAGATCTGAAATCAGAACTGAGAATCCTTTGTTAAATTGTTATTTATGCAATTCGAGCAAAAAATTTTTTTTAATTTTTTGTTGTTTCTGCAATACTCAATTATATGTTTTGATTAACTAGCGATAAAAAAGAATTCCGAAAAATTTCACAAACTGTTTTTTTTTCTAAGTAGAAATTTCTTTTTCAACTGTGTTCCAAAGTTTTCAAAAACTGTTAGAAGACCTGTCAAAACTTTGATTTTCATGCGCTACCTAAGCGTTTCCAATTTTTATCTTTTGATTGGGGAAACACATTTTGGCTTGCTTGGGGAAACAAATTTAGGCTTTGCTGAGAACCTATTAGTAGCTAGCAGAAGCTATAATACAAAAAAAATAAAAAATAGCAAAAATTGTGGGTATAATTTTGAGTAACTTCATGACTTGAACATAAAAATGCAATTATCTTTGCATGCAAAAAGATAAGGATAGCCCGTTGGAAGTAGAGAAAAACAAAAATACAATTAAAAATCCAATTTTGTTTCTCATTTAAAACAAAGCTTTGTCCTCTGAATTTCCTATACATTTTTTAAAAGTGAATGGTGATTGAGTTGTGTAAAAACAGCAAAAATGAGAGTCAATTATCGCTGAAAACTGAAAACATTCAATTTTATTGAATTGGGTGTCATCAAAATTTGAGTTATATATCATCATTTTTCGGGAATTTTGTCTGAAAAATGCAAAAGTTCAGAAAATATTTTCTCGAAAAATAAAAATTTTTAGGTTGTTTTTCGAATCCAATCAACAAGTGAACGAGATTTTAAATGATATTAGAGCTGAAGCTCTAGAAGTTTTGCTTCCGGTGATCAAAATTGGGGGGAAATCATCTTTCATAGGCCGTAATTGGTGCAAATCAGGTAACCTGTTTATGTTTTATAGAGATAATACATCTTGGTACCAGCGCTACCTGAAGAAGAGTTGTCCACGTCTGTGCGGTGAATGCGGACTCGATTCTTCCGAAGACTTAGACGCTCCGCCCTCTCCTCACTTTTGTGCCGACGAAATACCACTACAATACAAGTGCACTCAGCCAGTTTAAACCCCCTTTTATTTCCCACTTGATAGTAGGTGGGAGTGCAGAACTTTAAAAATAACGGCTTTTCTTGAGTGATTCAACAAAGGCAAGTATATATACAATATTTCATGCTCAAATGGAGGAAAAAACATCAAAAAGAGTCTGTATTAATATGGATGATCTCGACCCCAACGCGCATCAGCAGTTTGAAACTGAAAAATACCACAAAAACGAAATATTCTTTTATTTTATCAGACTCAAAAATTAATGGAACTTTAATCATTGATTGATTGGAGTTTACTCGTTTTTAAGTATAGATGCTCTAGTTTTAAGAGGATGAAATTAATCGATTTATAAGTTTAAAAGTATGACTAAATTGTGCATTTGTTGATGGCTAAAATGACGTTTTTGATACAAAACCTGAATGTAAATTTGACAAGATGAGGCGCTAAACCTGTTTTTATCATTCAAATAGCTTTAATTTTGTGCCAATACTTCTGAATTCAACAGATTCTTCATCTCTAAATTAATCATCACAATTTTCAGATAACTTAAAAGGTTTAAATTTATTGCAGTTCTTGGGCGCATGACACAAATTTTCAAAATTTCGTACCCGTCACCCTCCAAAAGGTAACCTAGAAAAACTAGAAATTTCTTGTGAAGGTTATGAGCATTGAAAAAAAATATGACTAAAAACAAATTTGTCCAAAATTCACTAAAATAGTTTGCAATATACTAAAAACTTTTGTAAAAGCACTGCTTACATGGAATTAGATTGCAATAAAAGTTCGACTGCTTTGATGGGCCATACGTTTTCTACTATCCGGGAAGAACACTTTCTTTCGGCTATCCGATAACAAAGTGTTTTTTTTTTCAGCTATCCGGAAACTACTTTTTTTCGGCTGTCCAGTAAATGACCAAAAACAGCAGTATTAAATAAGCGTTTAAAAGAGACGTGGAGAACACGCGCAAAAAATTGTACAAAAAGCGATGTAATTGCGAAAATAATATAAGTATAATTAATTAACATAATTAACAGTATTTAAGTGCAATCCTACATATGGATTGCAAAAACCAATTTCGCTTGTGCGTTTGGACAAAAGGCATAGTTTGATTCACTTTTCTGCTCTTTTTTTTGCCCGTCATGATATGTTTTTTTCTTGAATGGTCTAGTAAAGGTGACCATAGATGGTCCTTTTCTTTTTTCAAAATTTTCCCGTGAAAGGTAAAGTGGGAGTGAAATCATTCATCTCGTAACTCTAATCAACACGATTAAAATATTAATTTAAAAGGTTCAAATTTATTGCAGCTATTGGGAGCATGATACCAGTTTTCAGGATTTCGTACCCACCGCCTTCCAAAAGTTAACCTTCTTGTTGCGTACCCACAGATCTGCATTCCCGGATAGCCAAAAAACTAGAAGTTTTTAGTTATGGTGATTAGCAACAAAATAAATTATGACTTCGCAGGCAAACTCGTTTCAAAATTTGGATTGATTTTATTCGGATGATTAAATAGTTGTGTTTTCAAACTAAGCCAGAAAAACTCAAAAAGCTAAAAACAACTTTTTTGTGTAATAGCATTGCCTTCATTCAATTAGATTTGCACAAAAACGACGACGATACGTTTTATGTTTTCGGTTATCCGGAAACTTATTTTTTTGGCGTTCCAGTAAATAAACAAAAACAGCAGTATTAAATAAGCGTTTAAAAGAGACGTGGAGAACACGCGCAAAAAATTGTACAAAAACTGATTTATTGGCCTGATTGTATTAGCTCTCCGGAAACAAACTTTTTTGGCTGTCCGGGAATGATTTTTTCTTCGGCTATCTGAGAATGATTTTTTCGACTAACTGGAGTTGATGTTTATTTTGGTCAGCCTAGTAAGAATACGTTGTTGTCTACGGACTACTATGCAACCTTTTCAAGCGGATCAACATAAACCTCTCTGCGGCTCATCCTTTTATCATTATGAAGGTTTTATTGAGATCATTGTTAATGTCAATTTACCTACAACTTAGTTGGTCTTTACAGTTGTTATTAGTGGGAAAACTCTACATAAACAAGATAAGTCGCGCATTCATGAATAGGAGTGATTAATATCATGAAAATCAATAGTTTACACATGGTGACATTTGGCTATACTCAACTGATAAAAGAAAGAAAGCAATAAATATAGAATCAAATTAATACGCTTCAACAGATTGGATGACTTTATTTGCTTAATTTTTTTAAATTTTGTGCTAAGAGTTTTACCTTTGACGATTTCTCAGATCATCACATCCTCCCACGGATATCTGTAGTGTTTCGCTGCTTTGCGGAATCTTGCAATTTCTTTTGGTTTATCGTTGACTGGTTTGGGTTGATCCTCTGGAGTTGGTGAAAGTTTTTTTTTTTTCAATTTCATCATTGACAAGATCACTTGTTTCATTTGTGTTATTGTTCTCTTGACTGCATCTCGGAATTTATTTTTCGCTCACAAGAACAGTCCGTTCTGATTGATTGAGTTGGAACCATGATGTGTTGGTTACACGTCGAATGATGAAAGTTGCTGGCTGTGCTTTCGTGTGTTTGTTCGGCTTGAAGTTAGTTTTTTCACATAGGTCAAAATGAATTTTGATAGATAATCTGACCTTCCGTCCAAGGACAAGTTCGTCCGCTGTTTTTGCTTTTGCTTTCGAAATGTTTTTATGCGTCATTAGTACTGGTTGGAGAAACGCAACAAAAAAAAACACGACTGATTGACGGCATGCTTAACTGTTTGGCATGTTTAACTGTCTTGAATATTTAACTCTCTGGCAAATTTAACTGTCAAAATTTTTCCCCATTCGTTCATGGTTTGGTTAATAGTCAAGACTTAAAATGTTCAGCATGCCCTTAATTGTTCATCATACTGTTCAACTGTGCCCCATGTCTTCATGGCACGTTTAGCTATCTGTGTTGCTCTTTCTGCTACTCCATTTTCCTTTGGGTGGTAGATCGATGATTCTGAGTTCCGAACTTTTGAGTTCCCTGAGACTTGCACCATGTTTTGAAGTCATTGTTGACAAATTCGGGCCCGTTGTCAGAATCCAGAGTATTTGGTACTCCAAATCGTGCAATGACTGCTGATAAACATTTCATTACAGTTGGAGTAGTTCTGCCATTGATCGAACATGCTTCGATCCAGCCACTTCCTGCATCAACAACAACCAAAAACCAATATATTTTCTTGCGCTTTGATGTGAGCCCAGTCCATATGAATTTGTTTCCATACATCTGCTTCTGTCCATGTGAGAACTTTTTTTCCAAGCGATGATATGTTCTTTTGACAGATCTCGCATCTTGAGACAAGTAGTTTCAAGTCTTGTGACAAGCCAGGCCAACAAGCAATCATTTTCGAAGCCGTTACTGTTGAATGTCTTTTTGGATGCGTCTTGTGGGCAATGTCCAAAATTTGACTTCGGAATCCCGGTGGTATGGAAGATACAACGCCTCGGTAGATGATAACTTTCTACTTTCTTGAAGTTCGATTCAGCATCCGAGCATTGTCTCGAATCACCGCTTTGTATCCGTTTGAAAACATCTTGAATGTTCGATTCGATTGGAGGTCGTTTTTGATGTCCTTCAGCTTGATTGTCTGCGTGTCTGCAAAGAAGATGTCTTTCTGAAAGAAAAAATTCTCCTCTTTTGGTGTCTCGGTGTCGAAACGCACTCTGCTCAGAGCGTCCGCATGTGGGATCTGCCCTCTTGGCACAAATTTTAACTTGTAGTCGAATCCCATCAGTGCAAAAGCCCAATTTATTATTCTAGCTGATGCTGTCATCGGAATCTCTCCGTCTGACGCAAAGAAGTACTCCAAAGGGTTGTGATCTGTATGTAGAGTGAACTTGCGCCCCTCTATGAAATGTTTCAGTCGTTTGACCACAAAATAGATTGCCAAAGCTACTCGGTCTTTTTTGGAGTAGTTGCGCTCAGCTGATGTTAGCTTCCTTAAAGCTTAGATCACTGGATGTCCATCTTTTGAGAGAACCCTGTAGACTGCGTGCTCTCAAGCATCGGTTGTCATAGTCATTTCTTTGTCGCTTTTCCTATTACTCGCGTGATGTTCCGTAGACAAGCAGGTCGTCTTGGAATATAATCATGCCTTTGATTCCTTTGAGTGTATACTCGATGCACTTTCGAAAGATCGAAAAACTTTGGGGTAAAGGACACATCTTGAACAGCCCCTATTGGGTGTTGATTGTGCAATCTTCTTTTGCTTCATGATCTAGTTCGATTTGATGGTAAGCGCCTGAGTGGTCTATTTTACAGAAGATCTTGGCACTATGCAAGATGTGGAAATTGTATCCATGTCGGGTAATGGGTAGTCTTCGTCCATTACTTTGCTATTTAGATGAATTTAGTCTAAGGTCACCATTTTTTTCTGCCAGACGACTGGTGATGCATTGGTAACTCCTCCGTGCTACACTGGCTCGAGAACTCCCTGCTTGACCATGACCTGTAGCTTTGCTTTTACTATCTCTTGCATCGGCAAAGGAATTTTGCGTGCTTTTCAGAAAAGCGGTTGGGCTCCAGGCTTCAGTTTCACGTGAGCCTTGTAATCTCTGACTGTGGACAAAGTCACTGAAAGCCCATGTATCGAGCACTGGTTGGTGAGAGGTCGCGTTCAAGAAATTCGAAGTCTTTGTTTGATCGCACAACTTCCAGGCGTAGCTTTCAGTAGTTTCGAGCATTCCATGTCAGGTCACAGAATGCTGTTATTTTGAAGTAGAGTTTGTGTCCATCGTACGCTCCTAGAGTACGAGCAGTTACATCCAGAGTAGATCTTTCAAGCTTCTCCCAGATTCAATATCTACATAATAAGACTGTTGTATCCGCACCTGTGTGCAGTTGCATTTTCACCTCAGTGCCATCAATGACGACCGTTTCCCATGCGGCGGCCATGCCGATCAGACTTGAAGAAAAAATCCTACTTTCACAACGCTCTCAGAACTTTCCAGCTCCCCTTCTGAAACCTGACCCCAATGATCATGATGGTTTACTCCCTTATTAAATCTACTGTTACCTGTGTTGTTGTTGCTTAGCTTACTCCGACACTTTATTGCGTAGTGTCCTACTCTTAACTTTTCCTAGTTTTCTCTAGGTTGACTTGGAGTTGTATGCATTTTCTATTTTAATTATAACCTTAGAGGTCCCAGTAAAATTTTGTGCTTGATCGCAACACGATAAAAACTATGTCTGTGTTACTTCTATTTGCCTCAATTAACGTGATTTTAGATTCCATTGATATTTGTCCCGAGATGAACTTCATTCGTATCAACTCGTCTATTGCATCAGGGGTGTTTTTCAATTCTGAAAGTTTACAAAACCAAGCAGCTTCACAAAATGTTAAAAGAAAATCGTCGTCAGCCTCTCTTTGGTTCTGAACTGTCGAAAGGAACTTGGCTCGTTCAGCATCGACCACATGTTCTCTGGGCCTTCATTAGTTTCGTATCACAACGTTTATCTCATCGAACATCATCGCGCTGAGGTTGTTTGGCGAAAC